GAATACCGAATCGGAACGAATTTAACGGATAATTTGCTCAGCCCTACGTAGCACCATGGAGGGTTGGGAGATGCCCCACACTAATAATAATACAAAATTAGATAGGTTAATGAGTGACATACAGATGCGACATCTATATTGTGCTTTATCAGTTCTTACCTCATTTTTTTACGTAGTATTTCTTGATTACATTTTTTCCAAGTGGATTCATTCGTCACGACAACGTGTATGACAAAAATTGTCCTAAGTCTCTAGACAGGCTTCGGCCTTAAGTCTCTAGACAAGCTTCAGTCCTTAACAGGCTTCATCTCTAAGTCTCTAAGTAAGCCTCAGCCCTAAGTCCCGACATGGGCCGTAGTCCGAACCCGCTCCAAGCCAAGTCAAAAACAATACATAACATGACCGAAGACATGGTTTCGTAACCCGAGTCGAATTGAAGAGGAAGAATAGGTTGTGGTGGCATAATTGAGCCCACTATGAGGCCAATGTCAAGCTCAGAAATGAAGCCCGTAAAGATACAACCGATTTAAGCAAATTTCGAGAAAAATAGAAATTCACGAAGAAAATGGAAGTTTTCCTTTATCACTTAGGGATACTTAGCCAACTTAGGACTCTATAAATACTCATGTATATCCGTGGAAAAGAGAATCTGCAATTTTTACCTAGCAGAAACTCTGCAATCTTTGCTCTAATATCAAAAGATTTAAAACAGTAAGAAAACTCATCTTCGAATCTTTGTTTCCGTGGTTTCAATGCCAAATCTAATTGTGCTGGTTTCGACTCCCACACGTGGTATCAAATACGTGGTATCGAAATCGACACGCGTCCAACATCAGAACAAATATTGTTCATCTTTAACTTCGGTAGTCTTTAATCTAATATTCACTCGAGATACTTGACTCTATAGCCGATTATGGCCCCACACGGAAAGACTAAGATTTACACTCAAGTAAAGAAGAACAATCATATTCGAATGAGGTTTGATCAGTTATTGTATATGGCTATACAACAAACTAAAACAAAGGGCATGATTTAAACTAAACAAATCCAAACAAGGTCGAAAACATGAGTCCGAACAAAGCCGAAAACATAGATCCTTTGACCGGAAAACATATCTCAAAATAAACAAAATCAGCCGGTCAATTCGGAAAACTTATCTGACTAAACGGAAACCATAGATCT